CCGCAATGAAATAAAAGCAAGAACCTAGGAAGGAAGCAAGGATCTGGCTTTCATCTGAAGAGTTTCTGCCAAATCCTGAAGACATTGCTCTTCGGTGTAGATAACTAAATCAGCCCTGGAAAAAGCCGAGACCTGTTCGAGGTAAGTAAGCTAATAGGAGACCCGTTTATAATGTTGGCCAGCATAGCAGTATGTATGATGGCAATAGGAAAATGGTAAACAAATTTCTGAGAATTTGTTACTGCATGTCAGCCCTCAGATGGATGCTATTCATGTGGTCTGAAAAACCTGGAACCAAGAATTTTTTAAAGGGGTTTTCTTAGTGATCATAGGCAATTGGTAGAAACAAATATGAATTTTTTTTAAAAAACAAATTTTAACCTGATTCTCAAAGAATTCAAAACAGTCAAGATAAATGAGTAATTTAAAGCTCATGTCACAAAATACACAGGATATGAAGGCATTATGTGTGAAAACCAACAGAAATAGAACTACAAATTTATTGTATATGAGATATAAAATATAAAATGTTTATGATTAAGAATATATAAAGGAAATGCTGTCTTAAATGAGTTTTTCTAGACACGAGATTTGAGACAGGTATTTGGACGAGTAGAAGGCCGCCTAGCCGGTGAAGGGGGCCTTGGAGGAGGACCAAGGGATCCGCCACTAATGTCTGAAAACATAAGCGGGTTAAAGGAAGTTTTTAAACTTCTAGAAACTGAAAAACGTTTTAAAATCTTTAATCAAGAATGCAGTTTAGAAATTCAAAGAAATAGCAAATGTTAATACGAGGAGCTTAAAAATATGGGTAAAAGGATGAAAAAGTCTAACGTGCATTTTATTGGAGTTCCAAAAAGAAATAATGGGTAAGAGGTAATATTCAAATACATGATAACTCAGAATTTTCAAAACTTAAGAAAAATTAATCCCCAGATCTTACAAGCACAGCATATAAAGAGTAGAGGAACTAGAATACAGTAACAACCACCTTGACACGTTGTCGTAATACCGCAGATCATCAGAGAAAAAGGGCTCTTAAGAGCATAAGAGTAAGAAGTGGCCAAGGGCTTAAACAGCAGTAATGGCAACCCATAGACAATGATTTAAGATTTTCTGTTCCCCAAGAGAAAAAAACTATCAACACAAAATTCTATAACTAGACAAACTATTTATTGGGAATGGGGTGGGGGAAGACTTTTTTATCCCAAGGACTAATAGAATTTACCACCAAAAAGATACTCACTAAAATAAATTCTAATTCATTCTAAGTGTATTTTTATCCATAAATAATATCTGAGCTACAGGTAAAAATAGCAAGCAAAGATTTGAGTGAGAGAGAGTGTGTGTGTATGTGGAAACCAGATAAAAAACCGCTATCTTGAATAGTGTATAAGTAGAGAAGTGGCTGTTTGCTATTAAAGCATTCAAATTTTTTCAACTGGTCTAGATGAAGGTATAAAAAAAAAAGGCTAATTTTAAACTTAGTAATGTATGCATGTTAAGATAGCCAGGGTGATTATTAAAATAACAGAGAATAAGTGTATAACATGCACCCAAGTGGAAGGAAAAAAACAGATTGAACACTCCCACACACATCCCTCAACTCAAAGGAAGAAAAACAGAGGAAAAGAAATAAAAATCCTAAGAACTAGAAAGCAAATGAAACTTGTACTTATATCTTCCCAGATAATGATTTCCTACATAAAAATTTCTCTAATTGATCAAAATGAAAAATTTCAGAATGTTAAAAAATCAAAATCAATGTCATATCAATTGCATGTCTACACAGCTAACATTAAATTTTATGAAAAATAGCATGAGGGTGGCAGTGAGATTATGAAGTGCTTAGGAATATGTTGAACTATAAATATGCAGTTCCATAATAAAGGAAATAAAACTTTTAAAAAACATTAAAGCCGTCATAAAAAAAAAATGGAGATAAATCTCATGGTCTAGAAGGCTGTACCCGAAAATGAGTCAGTGCTTCCAAAATGGATCTAAAATTTCATTGCAACTCAATTTAAATCCCAGCATGAGTTTTTATGGAATACAATAGATTTATTCTAAATTTACTTCAATGTATTCTACAAAATTAAAAAAAAAGGAACCTGAGATGATCAAGGCAAGCCTAAGAAAAAGAAACTGAGAGTTTAATCAGCAGATCCAGGCCCCATTATGTTGTAATAATTAAAACAGAGTTGTAGAGTGGTATTGATGAAAAAATCGCCAAATTAGTCAGTGAGAAAGTACAGGTAACCTAGAAAGAAAAGAAACCCCACATATACTGAGGGTACCAAACAGCACATACATATCTTAAGAAAGGAAAGAACTGTATTAAATTTGTAATATTCAAGTCAAATTTGGCTTCTGCAATTACAAGAGGTGCTCAATGTGACTTGTATTAGACTTTTATTATCAGTATATATTGAATATTATAATTTTCATACTTTTTTTTCCTTTCTTAAAACGAGTATGCATTTTTGGCATTGTGTGTGTGTGTATACACATATGGAACTTGACTTGTGAGGGAGAAAAAAAATATGGATCATATAGATTTTTCACAAGAAAAGTGAAATAGGCTCGGC